TTGAAATAAAATTAAGCATAGTTTATGTTTTTGCAGCTTTTCTAGACACATAATAAAAAAAATTATAAATTGACATTGCCCTACATAATGTAAAACATATAAGACTATTGCCTTTTAAAAAAAAAATTCATCATAAATCATTGTATTAATGATGTGACATTTATAGGATTATTTGTATTTCACACTTTTTCCCCCCTTTCATCTGAATTGATAGTGTTGTAATTAATTTCATGAAATAACATGGAATATTTCAACGTCCATGTGGTTACACAATGTTTTACCAATCTCTAAACACCTGCTATGAAAATATGATTTTAAACATCAGTTGGAATTCAGGGAATGCAAAATATGTTAATGCATTCTCTTTCACTTCACAAGGTATGTATATTACCGTCTCCATCCTTACAGAAATTTAGGAAATAAACTGTATCCTCCAGACAATTATTCAAAAGAATATTTTTCAGAGTTGGTATTTGGCAATTTCTCTGTTTCTTTTATAATCCCCAAGCAACTCTAAAAGTCAAGGGGAAGTGGAGGGTTTCTTTTACGACCATGCACTTTTTAAAGACAATGCTTGGACGTTTTAATACAGCAACAATGCCAAGAATGTCTGACCTGACCTGGCTGGCAAGTAACAAGTTCGTCTTCAGAAAGTTTATTTTTCCTTCTCTCTTACAAAAAAAGAGCCAAATTATGAATGGCTTGCTGGAGAATTTAGCAACTGTTTCTCTAAATAACAATTTTGACTGTTTGACCCCTGAAACACGAATGACTTCTTGATACCAAATCTTTTCTTTACACAAGCCTACACCCTTTTCTTGGCAATGTCCGCAAAACATAATCAATCATGAAAGTTTGTGAACACGATAATTCATTATTCACAAGTTTTGACAATTCAATCTTTTTAGATGAATACAAAAATATAATTTTACTTGGGGAAGAATTATAAATGATTCTGCAATAGATGTGATATCTCTTTAGGGTCAATAACCATTCACTTTAGTCACAAATTAATGACCAAAGCACACATATAGAATCATGATTCACTTCATCACAATGGCACTTTAAACCTTAATATTATCATAACCTCTTTTCACTCCAACTAATCAATCAATGTCTCCTTGACTCACAACAAGTGATAAATAAATAGTGCTTTACTTTGAAAAAAAGCATTAGGATGGATAAACCATTTTAGTTGAGAAAAAAATGTCTCTACCTGCCACATGACTTTTTGATTTCATTCTAGTACTACTTTATGGAAGGAATGTGGCTTTTCAAGATGTTAGCAAATATCTCTCTTATCCCGATGTCAAAGGCGTGTCAATATAGCGATAGATTGCGCACATCCGCACATTAATCATGTCTCAGTCTAACTGTCAGCAAGCTTTCCATAAAAGATCTGTAGCTATATTTCTCAAATATGCTTATCTATCAATTTTGAAATGATTTGGCTATTTTTCATCATAAAACCTGCTGAATTAACTAATCAAATGAGGGAATATCTCGCATTCACAAAAATATATGATAGTAAATTAACATAAATGGGACAAAATCCCCATGTCTCTATGAGAGAATAATGAATTAGAGTAAAACATAATTCTGTGTTTTGTAATCCTAAATTGTTGAAAATCATTATACAATTTTCAGAACCCTTCTTATAATATGAGCCATCAATAGAAAGTAAATCTGATTTCATTATTGTCAGATTTTAAAAAAAATTGTACGTAAAATGAAGTACCTTATTTTTCCCTAAATTAAAGTTATTGTATATACATTTATTTCCAAACCCTGCTTTCAGCTCAGAGATATGTGTTTAGAGAAATGAGAAAGGATAATATTTGGGGTAAAAAATTTGAAGGGGGGCATCAAGACCATAAATAAGGGGCATGTTTTTCTTTGGTGAACACCCAAGCTATGTTTCATGGGGTTTTAAGGGGGGGGGGGGTAGGGTACGTGGTCATAACCCTAAATCTTCCACTGAGCCATGCTGTCTTGCATAATAATTACATACTATCTTCAAGAAGAGGGGATGATCGAGATGTTGGAACATTCTCTGATGACGTGATTCGGCAATGAATGTGACTATTATAACCTTCCTGCATTATGGTCAGGGCTCCTTAACCTTTAAAAGAGCATCTGTGTCACATCATAGTGTTTGGAATGGAGCCATCTTTATCATTGAGTCAGGAGGGACCGGAACAAAACAATACATAAAACAAAGAACTTTTATGATCAGAAAGACAAGGGGAATTATGTGCTTCTGATTTTCAAAACTGAAAGTACTGTGAAAAAGGCACAATGAAGAGTTGAACTAGGGATATTTTGTATAACATGAACTTTTGTGGCTTAAAATAGATGAGATGCCCCATCAACAATCCATCGATGTGACAAATGGGAGTGGATGAGAGAGAGGATGACAAAATGTGCAGTTATCAAAGGGATGTTGGAAGAGAGAGAGAGAGAGAGAGAGAGTGTCAATATAATATTGGAAACTTGCAATTTTTCAATAGATAAATAACACTAACTTTGCTCGAAGGAAATATCTATTTTTACTATGAAAAGAAAGTGATTGAGTCATTGTTTAAAAGTCACAGAAGAAAGTTTAAAGGAATCTGATTATCACAAAGTATATATTAAGATATTAACTTTCTACTTTTTTCATTTGTTTTCTTCATCTATTTGACAGATACAAAATGACTACAATACTCCAAAGGCCAAAGAATTAGTATTTGGAGAAATCTGAAGTAATTTCACCTAGGTGTTTGTTTTTCTTGGTGATTTTGTAATTTTGCAAAATCACATCCGAAATATATTTTGCCAACAGTATCCAAAAGATGACATTGGTCGCCCTAGCAACCGTGATTTTACTTCTGCACGTATGAGTAGACCATCCTCCCCTCCGAGAACGCGGGGAGATGCCATAAATCCCAATTAGCCTCTGTCCATGACAAAGGCTAAGGGCAGACCTCAGATACACTAGAGCTGTCTCAACAAGGCTCTAGCAAAGTTATAAAACCACAGCCAGGGTTACAAAAATGTTTCTTCAAGTCCACATTCCTTCCTTGCAGTTATTAATTTAAGCCACAAATGACAACTCTTTAAGGTGATCTGAGGTTATTCTGGCCATGGAGACTATTTGTAGAGATCTTTGCTAATGGAGAATGTTGTTTCTTCTGGTTAAGGTTAGTTTTGGCTTCCTGTCATCAGCAAAAATGAAACCCAAAAGGGCATGTCCTGCAACCACATTTTGTTTGTTTATGCACGGACCTTATACTTCCACATTCCATGGATTATGAAAACTTATTCCTATATTAGGTTATTTTTTATTGGAGGATTAAAAGGGCTAAGGATAAAAGATCAAAGGTAAAACTAAAATTGCTTAGTAATGCTCGTTTGTCTTGATGTCTTTGAATATTTGATCAATCGTCTTTACTTTCATAAAAGAAAAAAAAAGAAAAAAAAAAAGAAGAAAATCAAAATGATCCAAATTACGTCTTCATCTCTCTCTCTCTCAAACTCTTCAGAAATTAGTATTCTTAGTAAATTTTCAGAAAGTATTAGTCATCAAAACAATATTACTGAAATGATTTAAAGCTGAAATTAGTTGTTTTTGGGGTATTTCTTTGAATTTGGATTTCATGTTCTGAATATGAAACTTGAGGAATGATGCCATATAATCACCTAAAATGTAATGTTTTCAAGTTAAAAATTTCAGCTGATTAAAAAAGAAAACTTTGAATGAATATTTCATCATACCCCAACGTTTTAGAGCAGCTTTTTACTGCTTCCTTGGGTTACAAACTGGAAGGAACTGCGCAAGAAAGTAACCGCAGAATCAAAATTAAATTTTCCTGGCCGATTTCCACATGGTTGGAATGCATCCAAAAGCATTTTTAGCAGGCAGGTAGAGCATGTTTTGGAGAATTGTAAACATTAGATAGTAAACTTTTAAAGTGTCTAGACAACTGCAAGTACAAATTGCTTGTCAATTCTTTGAAGTTTGAAAATAAAATCATCCATGTCTATTTATCTCCCAGACCTATTCTAATCATATCATAAATAGTTATTCAATACCAATTTGCAAAACTGGCATATTTATTTTCCGTCTCCTTTTTTTTGCTTGAGACAATTGATAACACCTGCAAGACCCCTAAACCAGGACTAGACATTGGAGCTCCATCTCCTCCTAATATAGTTCTACCAAGATCCATTGTGACCTCCGTATTAAATTGAGAGGGTCAGCATCCAGTCACGAATATCCTCCAAGACACTAAAAATACACAGATTAGGACCAGACAATCGTAAGCAACCAGACCCGACATTCCGACTACCTTGTTCATGTTATTGGTTCACGTTTTGGTTAGAATTATTTGTCTTGCTAAAAGCATGTGTGAATCGCTGTCACAGGAAAGGTACACATACTACACCAGCATTTCCGCTTGTTGTCGGTGGACCCTCTCTTGACTTTCAGAACATTATGCTACTAGTCTTGGCATGCAGACTTTAAGATCCATCCAAAAAGCAAAGCCTATGTTTTTTCCTCAACATAAAGACTATTTCTGAAAATTTAAGTAATAATACTGATCATAACCTTTAATTACAATTTGTACACCCTCTTCCTCCACTGCTTGCCATAGGATCGTAGGCGGTGCATTTTACAGGAATTCTCTTGATGCCTGAGAGGGATTTTTGGCAATCCGTAAGGAACATTCGTTAGCAATGCGGAGAGAAAGAGACAGATTTGGTGGAGAGATAGGGATATAGCTTTACTCCTTGACCATGGACTCTGTCTATACACAGCACAGCCCACACATTACAAGGTCGTTCAACGGTCTTCCCTCCCTCTGCAGGAAGTACATACATACGCACCGCTTCGAGCATACTCCAAAGGGTAAAACTGTCTGTGGTGAGGACACAGACGGGGAGGGTGTGTCAGTGGTTGAACGGCAAACTCAGTGACTGGAAAATGAGGATAAATAGAGAAGCATGTCTGCAGTTGGTCAACAGTTTGCTAGGAGCAGCCAACCAGCTTTCAGCACAAGAGTGAAAACTCATTCAGAAGTAACATTACTCACGCAACTTTTACAAGAGGCTATAAAGGACTTTTGTCATCAGGGTAGCAGATCAATTCAGCTCTAAGCATCTCACAGCATTGTACTTCAACAAGGTCACTTCTTATAAACTTGGATCTAGCATATTTTTCTCAACGATTTAATAATTATGGCTTCTTTAGCTTCATCAAGCGTTTTTGTGAGCTCTGTCGTTTTGCTCTTGGGGCTTGTAAATATCGCCATGGTTTCTGCCAGTTGTGCCACTTGCCCCATCACTCATCCACAACAAAAGTTCTGTCAGTCAGCATTTGGTAAGTTCATTTCCTTTTAAAGTAAACAAAATAATATGAGGTTTTAAGAATTTTATTCGACAAAATTTGCTATATTTAAGATTTCTCTCTTTTGTTTGAATGGTGTTTCTTTTCTTTTTCTTTTTGTGCATTCATTAGAGTTAATCTCATATTGTTTTTTGTTTTTTGTCTATTTGTTAAAAAATAATAGCTCTGTTTAGTTACAAAAAATAACGGGAGTGAATTCACAATAGATTCAGATTTTGAGAAAGACATTACTATTTCATGATTTCAAAATAACTGTTTACAGAAATGTTTTTTCTGCAGTGCACTAATGATTTATTTAAATAAAAAACACCAAGATGATACTAATTTGGGTAAATTACACCAAATTTCACTCAGTCAAATGCTAACATTTCTTTTTCTTTTTTGTCTTTATCTACAGTATACAAGGTGAGGACGATATCGATGCAGTATGTTGACATCAATAACCAGCCTGTACTCTACTCATCCCAAGCCTATGATGTCCAATACAGGGTCAAAGTGGAGAATGTCTTTAAAGGAGAGGGGAGCCTAGGGAAAGAAGGGAAAACAGTCTTCATCTACTCACCCAAGAATGTTTGTAACATTGATAAGTTGGAGATGGGCATCAGATACCTCATCAGTGGTAAGTTCAGAGAAGAGATTTTATTGGAAAAAAACATTAACTAATTTTTATCAGAATTCTCTGAAAATGTTTTGATTTAAAGAGGAGATGCACAACATACAAGTTTTACTTTAAAAAATATTCAACCAACTTTTCGTTTGTGTAAAGGATTATCGGACAAGTAATTTCAATGATGAATCTTATAGGACTAAAACCACAATACAAAGTATGGAATCTGAACTTATACTTTATATTTTTTTTTTTACTTGAAATGGACATACAAATATCTTTATTCAACCTAATTTTAGATTTATGCTCTTGACTACTTGGTACAAAAAAGGGGTGAAAAAGAAAAATGCATAAGACAAGCTTTTTGTTTCCATATTACATCCTTAATTCTACTGATTTATTTTGTATTAGGCTGAGTTGGATGGGTTTCATATCATAAATTATAATCATTGCCATCTCTTTTCCATCATTTTTAGGGAATATGAAAGGAGACAAGAAGCAGGTGACAACTTGTGGCATCGTTGAGAAGTGGTCTGAGATTTCCGCATCTCAGAGGAGAGGAGTGAGAGGTTTCTACCAGTCACAGTGCAAAAGCTGCACGGTAAGATTTAGAATCTTTACTTTGGATAATATAACATCTAAGAGGGGAGCTTATTAAATGGATTTTCTTGTTGGAAGTAATCATTTTCAAATAAAAATAAAAATGGGATGATTTTTTTAATCTATTCACCTTAGATTTTTTTTCATGCAATTAATTTACTCGAAATGGTATATTAATACCAATAAATATTCCAGAAGGAATTTGATTGACTAAATTATCATTTTGTATCATAATCACAGTTTTCTAAATTTGAGCAAAGATATATATGAACAAATATTTTACGTGAATTTAAACCAATGTTTTCTCTATAAATGCATTCATTCTTCAGGTATTTGGGACATCAATCCAGCTTTTCTATGGAGGCAAAGAGATGGTTGATTCCATGAGCTCTGGTCTGTGGAGTCGTCAGCAGTGCTTCTTCAACCCCCTTGCTTCCATGACCTACGGTAGCGAAGACTGCGAGACAGAGCACGCCTACTGCATGCGTCAGGAGAATGGAGTCTGCACTTGGGAGGGAGGAAAGGCCTACGATAACTGCTTCCGCCAGAGAGAGTACAACTGGCAGCTGATGCAGTTTGGCGAGAATGGACTCGCTGCCTGGACCTGCCCTGAGCAATGCAAGACCCTCACAACCAGGAAACTCAAGTACAAGTGCAAGAAAGCCACCAGGAAGATGCCACCCTGCAACTCAGGGGATACAGTCAGAGAGTTTATTCCTGATGCTGTACGCACTGTGGTTCCAGAAATGTCTGAAGTGCGCACTGTCCAACCCAACTCACTGCAGGAGATCCCCAGGACTGTTCATCCCAACATGATCCAGGAGGTTCCTGCAACAGGTTCTCCAACGGTTGCCAATGTCCTATCAGCTCTGCTCCATGAAGATTAAATAGGAAGAGCTTCTCTGAAATAAACAGATCAAATGGTACCAGACCTGGGAACTCTTGGTAGCATCTTTTATCAAGTGGTTGCTATCGATTGGATTTGTCTAAAAATTTGACATTTCAAGGATTCTGCTCTGAGCATGATCTTAGAATGAGCAATCTGGATCAGGTAGACCGCTATTTTAGAAGAAAATTATCAATTACCAACTTTAAATGATTTTCCCCCAATATGAGTAATTCTAAAGTGTAAAATATGATAAGGGAATTAGATTACATTGATACGACTTTCAAAGAGAGACATTTCTAAAATGTTGATGCTAGGTTTACATTTAGTTCCCGGCGGCCACGTTTGTCCGAAACGTAGTGCGCCGTGGGATTTGGGCCATTTTTTCTCTGTATTCAAGGTTTGTTAGGTCTTGCCAAGTTTTTTATATTACCTACAGTCACGTTTTGTTGCGTTAACTTTGGGCTACTAGGTTTCTCATCCGGACTGACTGCCGTGGCAAATTTTTTAACAGTTTAAAAATCCTGTGATTGTCATGGCTGCCGGGGAACATTATGTAAACCTAGTATAAGAAGCTGAAATAGCAGGACAACTGCAACAAGGCATTTTTTAATGATTACTCTCTGTAAATATGATCTATCCATTTTGTGCACCATTGATACTTTATAATGCACATTATATATATTTAATGGATTTATAACAATAATATTATACAAATTGAAAAATTATGCATACAAAATAATATAATTGTTATAATTGTTTACATTATTTGTTAAATTTTTTTATATTACATTAACATCTAAATGACTTTTGAAAGTGTTATGGCAGAAAAAAGGAAGAATGAATCTTTTGAGAATGGAGACTAGATAAACAGGATTTTTCACTGATACCTGTATATTTTTAGAATGCTTCATATGTTGTTATAACCACTATTCAAATACCACATGACTTTGTCATATGTATCAGTTTGAGAATGGTATGTTGTAAGATATGTTGTAACTCTAGCTATGATATTCAGGGTCGATACTTTGTGTCTTTCTTTGTTTATTTACACAATGTGTTCTTTCAAACTTGAGTGAAACTGTAAATATTGGTTATTCTTAACCAAATGAAACATTGGACATGAACTTTTCATATATTTCTTTATCTGTGTTCTATTTATGATCATTATGACTTCACCAACTGGCAGCTGTATGTAATATGTTGGTTTAATTCACAAAACCATCATACAATTAGGTGATTAAATGTACATTTTTTTTGTTTTGAAATGCAAATCATTTATGTGCAGGGCTTTCCTTTATTTGCAAAAGTTAGGGACAATATATTCTGTGAACTAATTGCAGAGAAAACACCTCTTGAATTTGCCGAGAAATAGAAAGGCTAAATTATGAGCAATGTCAAAGTGAAAGAGAGAAAGAAAGAGAGAGAGAAAAAAAAGAGAGAAAAGAGAGAGAGAGAGAGAGAGAGAGAGAGAAAGAGAGAAAGAAGGAAAAAAAAGAGGAAGACAGAGGGGTCACGAAGAATTATGATACAATAGAAGATAAGAACTTGAAGAACAAAACAGAGAGAGAGAGAGAGAGAGAGAGAGAGAGAAAAGAGGATGAGGGAAAGAGAGATGAGAGATAAATATAAAAGGAAATGAAAGAAAGACAGGTAAAAGAAGAGTATATCAGGAGAGAGTGATAGAAAGAAATAGAGAGAGATATATATTTATAGAGAGAGGAGATATACAGATGAAAACCATTAAAGGCCAAGTCCACTCCAAAAACAATCTGCTTTTACAAAAAAGCAAGAGAAACAGAAAGAAAACAAATAGAGTAAAATTGGATAACTACTACTACTAATAATAATATTGGATATTTACATAGCGCACATATCCACCCTGCAAGATGCTCAAAGTGCTCCAATATTAGAATTTTTGAAAAAGTATGAAAAAGTATGGAACAATGGAAATCACTACACAAATCGTCCCTATTTTCACGAAGTGACGGTAGTGAGGAAAATCGTCACGCAAAGTGAATGCAATTTTTTTTCACTACCGTCACTTCGTGAAAACAGCGACGAAATTGCCAATTAGGTTTTCAGTTAGTGACGTTATGGCCTCACTCTTAATTTCCATTTTTATCCCCAAAAACTTGATTTCCTCAGGCTTTTGCCCAGGTTATATGATTTGTATCATATTCTGTGCATGACATTTAAAAAAATATTTTATGAATATCAAAGGATTGATACTATTTTCTATATATTGTATATTCATAATTATTGATTTTTATATAAATAGTTTATCAAAATTCAAATCTGTCATGATTTAAATGAAAAAATGCTCTATAAATAGTGCATCCACACAAAAACATATTACTATAAATATAACTTGGATGCTGTTGTGAAGAAATAAGATTCTTAGGGGGAACATGGGAAATTTATATTATCAATATAAAGAAAACGATTGGTGGATAGTGAGGCAATGACGTTACAGACTCATGGGTGTGTTGCCATTTTGTCTTGTGATTTCCAAAGTTTTTTGTGTCATTGAAGATTCACTAGTCATCTGATTTTGCTCAAACTTGTTTTGATTGGTTTGTCTGATTTTTCTGCTTCTATTGAAAGTAACTTTTTTTTGGAATGGACTTGCCCTTTAATGAAACAAAGAGTGAGATATAAAAGATGGAGAGAAATATAAGAAGGGAACATGAAGAACATACAAGGTACAATTGGAGCCTGGAAAAAAGAAGGAATGAAAACAAAGATGATGAATAGAAAATGTACTGAGGGAGAGAAAGAGAGAGAGAGAGAAGGGGAGAGAGAAAGAGAGAGAGAGAGAGAGAGAGAGAGGGAGGAGGGTGGAGGTAGAAATCAACCAACAATCGTTCGCATGTCAGCAGATTTTTTAATCTATAGAAAAAGAAAAAAGGATGAAAGCAAGAAGCAGAATTTTTTAAAGGTTGAATAAAGATTTTAATTGAAAAAGAAATTTTATTAAAGTAAAAAAAGAGGCGGGGAGTGAAAATAACAGCAGAAAACATAGAGAGAGAGAGAGTGAGATAGAGAGAGAGAGAGAGAGAGAGAGAGAGAGAGAGAGAGAGAGAGAAAGGGGGGACAGGAAAGGAAGAGAGTACAAGAGATAGATAGATAGTTGAAGAAGATACAGTTAGATAAAGAAGGAAAAGCAAGAGAGGAAGTCAGGGAAATATGGAGAAAGAAAAAGAATCAGATGGGGGGGGGGGGGGGGGGGACACACACAGAAATAGGAAAGTGGACAGCAGCATGTAAAGAGGATGAGTCAAATCTAAAGTTAGTAGGTAACATACAAAAAAACAGACACGGCGGAAAAACAGACAGAGAGAAACGACTACAGACAAAAGGATATAAGAATAGCCACAGATGTAGGAAAGTAAAAAAAAGTATCATAAACAGAAATAGGGAGTGGGATGTGATTCCTCTGATAGTGGGAGGGTCCTTCTCATGCTGAGAGAGGCGGAGTCTAAGCTATGATATCATTGGCCAATCACAGCATCTTGCCCGAGAACATCGCTTGATATGTGCCTCCACAGTCAGAAAATGGATGGTAAACTCATTATCAACATGACTGAATATCTGTTAAAACAATTTTCCAACCCATGAAATGATTACAAAATCTTGGAAATATAGTTTTCGTTGCATTCTTAAAAATAGTATTTTGAGTGGGCATCATTCCCTGATGGTAGAAGCAGGGAGGTAGCTGATCGATAAGTCAACGCCTTGCCTTAGTAGACGTTTGGCTAGCCTGGTCTGAATGTGAATAGGACAGGAAAGCCAAGGGATCCTGTGGTTACAAGTGCTGGAAACATAGGAAAAGCATGACATCCTGAACATGTTTATATGTAAACATTCAGCACAAATATTACCTCCTCTGCCCCCCCCCTCTCTCTCTCTCTCTCTCTCTCTCTCTCTCTCTCTCTCTATTTATCTCTATTTGTGTGTCTGTCTATCTCCATGAACTATTCTAGCTAGTGCTGTAGTAACCATAGCAAGATGGTGCATCAATTGAGAAAAAGTGCAAGTTTGTAGTTAAACTCTATGCAATATACACACAAAATATATATGTCAAAAGTACCATGACGGTGGTTATCTAAGATATTTATTATTTCATGTGATAAACTACCAGTTTCTTTGATTTTATAAGAACATAATAGCAGCTTGCGCAACTTTATAAATGCCTTTTAGAATCAATTATTTCAATGGTTAAGTTTTGTTTTAAATGGTTTAGAAGTGTAAGCTAATGTAGTTGTCAACTTGTCAATGGCCTAGGCTTGCAGATTAAACTTGACATTACCTCTTATTTTCTCAATGAAAATACAGCTTAAGTCATGTGACTTTTTGATAATCGTCTCCTCAAAACAAACCAAAAGACCCTACAAATTCTCTCATGATTTTGTATTTGTCACTGTGGTATCTTTGGTTTAGCACCGTTGGTGAAATTATGGAAACAATTGATTACTTTCTGTTGTAGTTTCTATGGAACTTTCAGCATAAACAGATGAGTAAGAAGAGCACTGATCAGCTGATTCATAGATGAGATTAATCTTGTCTACCTGTACTGTAGGGGTGCTTTGAATGTAATAAGCCTAGAGCTTTCATGCTTTGAATGAACATTAATGTGGTATGGATTATATATGATAATTATTTAAAGTTGTAATATAATCAATTGTAATTGTAAATGGATGACAATAATTATAAACCACTAAAAAGCTTGTCCAGCAAGGGAGAATTCCTTATAATGATGAAAGAGCTCAAAGAAACAAATAATAAAATAAAATAGTGAGCAAGAGAGAAAGGGGGGGGGGGGGGAGAGGGGAGAAAAAAAGGGGAAAAAAAAACAGAAAGAGAGAGGGGGCAGCAATCACAACGACAAAATGAATTGAATTTTTGTTAAACAAATTATTGCTCAAATGTCTCAAAAATGAATGTATGTGTAGACCCTACATAATCTTTTATTCACCATAAAAGTTTTGTGGCTTTAGTTATAGAGCTGGAGCCTGGAATCATGTTTACCTCATTACATTTCCAATTCTTGGACATATTAATTTTTTTTTGCTTTGAGAATAAGAAAACTTTATAGAAAACAGCATGAGTCAATGTGTAGAGGTTTTTCATCAGCTAATCTATTTGAGCTACAATAAATTTTCACATTAAAAAAAGGTGCTGAAAAGGTGACTCAAATTGGAATGCTGTTGATGATGAAAGTGACTGGCAGCTTGTGATAATTCATAACAAAATTTGAGCTGTAGGGGAAGAAGGGTAGAGGTAGGTTAGTTTACGACAATAACTCTGACCTATAAACTCTTTGGCTAGGTCAAGTTTCAGACATGGCTAGCCTGTACAAAATGAAAGAATTAATGAATATACGACCCAGACGTAAGTGAACTAAAACAAGCATTGCATTCCATAAAAGTTGATCACAGAGCCTACTCCTAGCTTGATCCGGTCAAATTATTTTTCTTGCTAAAAGCGAGTTGACTTGGTGACAGGAAGAATGCAAATACAACTAGAGACTTTCCGAAAGTAGACAGAAACCCCCTTGGACCAATAGTATGCTGGTGTATCTTAGTCTAAAAAAGTAAACCTTAAAATACTTTAATCGGAAGTTACAACTTTTTGTTCTCATCACAGGTTATTGAGAATAAATGTGATTGTGTTATATAATGAGAAATTAGTTACATCACAAAACAATTTCAGGAAGACTTTCCAATTGTGTTGTAAACATGAAGGAATAAAAGGCATGACTTTCTGTGAAGTTTCATTCAGTATAGCCTGGTAGACTATGATAGTGCTGAGAGCAGTGTGTATCACTGGTTTCAGTCTAAACAGAGAGCAACCCACACACTGCTTTGTCTGTCAATTACTGCACTCCTCCCTCTGGAGGAAGTGTGGGAGCCAAAATTTGGGCAACAGGTGACGTATTGCCAAGCCTTAGGTGTCGGCCCTGACAAGGGAGTAAACACACTGAGCAGAAGAGCCAGAGAGGTGTGAGTGTGTGACTAGAAATGTGTGCATAAATAGGAGAGCTGAGCTATCGTTGGTCAACAGTTAGCTCTTAGCAGCCAACCAGATAACACCTGAGCACCACAGAGAGAGAGAGAGAGAGAGAGAGCGAGAAAGAAGAGAACTTGACTCCAGCCAGCCAAACTCAAGTGACCATTTCTAAACTTGTCATCAACAGAGCTTCTGCTATACTTATGTGGACAATATCCATTCTTATTTCAACCAGCCTTCATTTCCCTGCAATATTTTCACT